AAACAATAATAAATGCCAAAAATGAATCACAAAGTTCTGTAATAGCTCATACTAAAAGATATCCTCTCCCAAGGGAGCATTAGATTAGAGGCTTTATGGAGGAGAGGGAATTTGGATTGTCTTTGAAACAAGGAAAGAGGAAAGCAAATGAGATAGAAAATACCAGAGGGAAGAAACATATGAATGAAGGCAAAGAGGCTGGAAACAATGGAATGAGTCCATTTGGGTTGGATGCCCAGTGGAAGGGTTGAAGGTGGAATGTAGCTTAATAATCAGGCATCAATTTAAAGACATGGGAGTTTATCCCTTGAGAGCAGAGATTTCTGTCACATATCCATCATTAGAGCAACCTTTGGGAAAACAGTGCAGCCACACAGCCATCAGGCTGGCAAATCCAAGTAGGTAAGCGTTTTCCAGGTGGGTTAGTGGAGTCTGGAGCTTAAGGATTAGCATAAGAAAATCATGCATACGGAAAAATGTCCTGTTATACTTAGTTCAGTGTGACTTTAACAGTGACTATAGCTACAATTATTCTGAAAACATATATTGTTACAGGTATTGGGACATGTGGACTTTCTGTTGTTGTAGGAGTTTGTCCTTATAGGCATTACCAAGCTACTTCCTTAGCTGTGAAAATCTTAGGACCTGGGTCATGACTAGTAAGGAATGTGCCTTGCTAGTTTTAAGATGGAATTGATTTTAAAATGGTGTCACTCTAGCTCCCCTAGGCTCCTGCTTCCCTAGCAATATGTCCTGGGACATATTAAGTGGGCAGCCAGTGTTCACTGAACAAATGAATGACCATACCTTGCTGGGCTAGAGAAGAATTACTGAAACCTAGATCCAACTCTGGGTCTTAGAAAATGTACTGGAGATATGTATGAGCTCCCTAAGATTCACAGGACAGTGTTAGTAGCCTTATTTCTCACAATAAAAGTTATGAAAGTTTAAATGCCATGTCAATGTGCTTTTAGCTTATAAGTAGTGGAGCTGGAATCAGAACTATAATTTCTCCTGATTCTTACTCCAATATTTTATAGCATAGAGAAATATATTGCACTGTAGAAAGTGGTTACCATGATTAGCATTAGGGAACAAGTTTAGGAAACTTCTATAAAGGGCTGGATATATGGATTCTTCAGTCTAGTGATTTGATTAATCGGTCAGGATTCACACAAGATTGTATTATGACGCACTTGTTGAAAAATTCACATTTGCCTATAACTATGGAGAGCTAAATCTTAGCAAGGTCAAATAGACTAGAAAGGCCATTATAACATGAATAGGTAGAAAGAAAGAGGCAAAATAAGAGCTGATATCCAAGAATCATTTCAGGTTCCATATTTGCTGAAAGAGTGATATTGATTAGGCATAGTTAGTTTCACTATGAAACAAAGTCTTTCGTAATATTTTATAATCCTCACACCACTTTGTAATTGTGGTACTAATTAAGTCTTTTCAAGTTAAGAAAAAGACAACCATTAGGAAAAATGGTAACAGAATCTATGATAGTAGTGTTTATTATATCCTCTGTACCAAAAGTGAGGACATTAAAACCTTCCAATGTTGCATTATTCTTAAAATTAAACAGCCAAGTCCAAAAAGTGAAAATGAAAAGGCTATCTCAGAATAAATTTTGACAGTTTATAGTAAATCTATTTTCAAGGACAATAGACATGATGATGTCAGATAGAAAGATAGATAGATAGATAGAGGCATGAACCCGGGAGGCGGAGCTGGCAGGGAGCCGAGATACTGCCACGGCACTCCAGCCGGGGTAACAGAGTGAGACTCCGTCACAAAACAAAAACAAAACAAAAAAAGGCAATTGTTCTTTTTTCTAACAATGATTGTAATATATATCATACAGAATTACCAGCTAAATATCTTTAAAATATCTTATTTTCATGTCAAAAGAAACAAACATAGGCAAGGTGGAAACTTTGATTGAAGTCTAGACAAGACATAGGATAGGAAACAGGCTATCCAGATTGCATTATTTGTTTTAGTTCACCCAACTTTAAATTACTGACGACAAACACACTGGTCAAAAATGAATGAATGGATTCCCGTTTTCACCAAGTCCTGTGCTCTTGGGATTGCTATAATCAAAAAAAAAAAAAAAAAATCAAAAAAATAGATGTTGCTCTGGATATGGTGAACAGGAAACACTTCGACACTGCTGGTGGGAATGTAAACTAGTACAACCACTATGGAAAGCAGTGTGGAGATTCCTTAAATAACTAAAAATAGAACTACCGTTTTATCCAGCAATCCCACCACTGAGCATCTACCCAGCGGAAAAGAAGTCATTATATGAAAAAGATAGTTGCACTCACATGTTTATAGCAGCACGATTCGCAATTGGAAAAATCTGGAACCAACTCAAATGCCCACCAATCAACGGGCAAATAAAGAAACTGTGATATGATTTAATACTACTCAGCTATAAAAAGAAATGAATTAATGGCATTCAGTGACCTGGATGAGATTGGAGGCTATTATTCTAAGTGAACTAACTCAGGAATGAAAAACCAAACATCATTATGTTATCACTCCTAAGTGGGAGCTAAGCTATGAGGACGCAAAAGCATAAGAATGACACAATGGACTTTGGGGACTCAGGGGTAAAGGGTGGGAAGTGGATGAGGGATAAAAGACAACAAATAGGGTGCAGCGTATACTGCTCGGGTGTTGGGTGCACCAAAATCTCACAAGTCACCACTAAAGAACTTACTCATGAAACCAAATACCACCCCATGTCCCAATAACCTATAGAAAAAAAAAAAAAAAAAGAATAAATGAAGTCAAGGAATTGGTGTAAATAATGAATTGCTAAAAAGCAAATCTTTACTTCCACTTGTTTTATATATTTATAAAGGCTAGGCGCCCTCATGAGAAGGGTTTTGCAATGCTTTCTGCATTTTGATTCATTCAGTTTTAGACTTCAAGAGGTAAGAGGGGCTAATAATATTGTGGATCAAAAAATAAATGTTTTAATTGAATATACATTTAGATATTTTGTGTTTTTTAAAATTAATAAATTATGTTTCTGAATTATAAAGTTAACTGCTAAGCATGCTTGTTTATTTGATAATGTCTGAGAGAATTATAAATGTTACTTTCAATAAATTGTTCTAAAGGAAATTTGTTAAACTATGTATTTCTATTCCTACTTTATGTATTAATCAAATACAAAATATATCAAGTCATCCATAAAGCAAGGTGAATATGAAAAGCAACAACAAAGAAAAAATAACTACTGTGTAAAGAATTTGACTATTTGGTTAGTGATTTTGCTTTTAGCTTTTTAAATATTTTTAATTTTAAGTCAGTGATGTCTAATCTACCTGTGCAATTAGACATATCTTATTTACTGTTTATATATGATCTTTATGTTTATTTAGAAAAAAATTGTTTCATTTTAGTTGTTGGATATATCTGAAAGATGAACTTTAAAAAAAATTTTACTCCACATTATTGAATAAACCAGTAAGAAACTTTCAGAGTTTGTCTCTAATTTAATAATGTGTAAATCACAGACCATATTTAATTAAATATTAATATTAATAGTTTATTAATTTTATTAATACTAAATTATATTTAGCTACTCTTTTAATTCAAAGAATAATTTTCCTTAAACATACTGGCTGAAAAGCATGAAAACACTGGAAACGCTCTCACAAACATGTGCTGCTACTTAATGTCCAGCACACATCACACAGAAAAATCTCATGAAAACATTAGTTGTGCTGTATCGCTCTTCTTCAGAATGCTTACATTTTACTAAGTATAAGCCCCTACTGCTCTCCACAGTCCCTCAGCTTTGCATGGGCTAGCAGCTGCTTCCCCAGCCACACCTCCCATGCTCTGACTGATTCCCTCAAAGGGAGCACATTATTTTACACCTCCAGTTTTGGTCCAACAACTCTTTACTAAGAAAGACCTCAATCTTTCTCTTATATCTCTTTCTGGTCCTTGCATGTAACCTCGTCAGAGGAGGACATCCTGCCTATTGCCTATCACTGCTTCTTGAACATTATTTCTTTATTACAGCTATCAAAATTTGTCACTTTATGTATACTGTATATAACATAGATAATAAGTACATGACATATATATGCTTTGAGGAAAAAACACATTTCTATTCTGTTTAACATTATATTACATAGTCATGCAATAATAGGCTACTAATGAATAAATGAATCCTTTAATGTGTTAATTAACATTTGACCAAATCTTCTGCTTCTGATCATTGCCATCCTCCTATACACACAATTTGTCTAAGGTCACCAGGAACTAACTTATACATAAACAAGATGTTTCTGACCCATTTCAAAGATAGGGAACACACATCAGGGGAACCATGGACTCTTTCTTCAAACCTAGGAAGAAATAGAGCTATCACAGGATTTGTGGGAAGAAAGGAGTTTAGGTGAAATTTAAATGAAGCAATATTTTGATAGAATATTACCAAGTAGGATACGTAAAGGGAACAATGATAAGTCCAAACCAGAGTAGATGTGGGGGTCCCCTTTTCCTGGAAACTACAAAATTAACATAGATGCGGACTGTTGCATTAAAAAATCTTTAATCTGAATTTCTGCACCTGAGTTGGAAATTGAGATTTCTCCTCTGCATCAAAGTGACTTAGATTCTGCAGCACAGAGAAAAACATTTCACCTCACTGATAAAATTTCAAAAAATTAACGTCAGATAGTCTGTGACTTTAAAGAAACAGGTGTTTTGTTTTGTTTTGTTTTTCAGTGAATAACACAAGAGCAGTAGCTCAATGAAGGGAGTTGTTTGGACACATTAAAACCCTGCCGTGTGCTTGGAGGAAACGTTTTTTTCTGCTGAGTTTACACCTGGATTTATGTGCCTTTTATAAATGGCAAGGCAGGTGTTGACTGTCTAAGCTATTTTTCACTCTCTCACTTCATAATCAGAAGGTAATTATGTTAGATTAAGAGTGAAAGTTAGTGTCTCATTAACAGCTGTCACGTCCTCCGCTTTGCAATAGCTCTCCTTAAAGCTCCTTTCACATCTTGGTTCCTCAAGCTGTAAATCAAGGGGTTAAGCATAGGTGTGATCACCGTGTAGAAAACCGCAATGATCTTGCCGCCAGCCCAGGAGGACCTCGACTGGGGTCTCATGTACATGAAGATGGCAGTCCCATAAAATAAGGTCACCACTGTCAAATGGGAGGTACAAGTGGATAATGCCTTATACCGCCCAGAGGCTGACCGCATCCTGAGAAGAGATTGAAGGATCCGGACATAGGAAACAGTAATGAGGAGGAAAGGGACGAAGACAATGATGATACTGAAGATAAAAACAACTAGCTCCGTGAATGAGGTGTCGGTGCAAGCCAGAGTCAGGACAGAAGGTACCTCACAGAAAAAGTGATTCAGGATATTAGGCCCACAGTAGGGCAAGCTCAATGTGAGAACATTGATAACCATGGAACTCAGGAAGCTACTGGACCAAGAAATGACTGCCAATTGAATGCAGGTGTTTTGGTCCATAATGAAAGTATAATGAAGAGGATGACAAATGGCTACATATCTGTCATAAGCCATGACACATTCAATCATTCCAAAGGAGAGGGAGAAGTACATCTGAGTAGCACAGCTGGAGAATGGGATGGTGTTCCTTTTCCCCACCAAGTTGGACAGCATTTGGGGGACATTGGTGGATGTGTAGCAAATGTCCAGAAAGGATAAATTAGTGAGGAAGAAGTACATGGGAGTTTGGAGGCAAGGTTCCATCTGGATAATAATGATGATTATAACATTTCCAGCCACAGTTGATAAATAGAAGAACAAGAACATAATAAAAAGAATCAGCTGCATCTTTGGTTCAGAGGACAACCCCAGGAACACAAATTCAGTGACAGTGAAGTTTGTGTTTATTGACTCCATCTTTCAAGGCATCTTCCTCTCACAGTACCATTGACTCAACTGAAGACAAAGTCAAATTCCCTATATGTCAGAGGTTTGGAAACTCAAGATGGAAAAAATAAGGAGAAATCCTGGTCTAAGACTGTGTCCTGAGTATCTGAGTTTTAGTACAAATGGAAAGCTTTTCTCCTGCTTTTTCAGGGAATATATGATGAGATCAGACTGTCAAATTCAAATACTGATTTGAGTTAAGCAAATATTCTTTCCTTTTCTGAAAGGGAATGCTCTTTTGCCTAGTCATAATCATTTCAAACTTGATTCATTCTTCAAAGACTTAGTTACACTTCACTTACTTCACAAAGATCTGATTCTTGCTGTTGTTGTTCTCCACCTAACAACAGAGCAACACAACACATCACTCAAATAAATGGCAATGAAGATTATTGCTTCATGCATTACCCCACCCACTAATCTACACATAAAGCCAAGCTTCCTCTACATTACCCTGATGCAACCTTCTAAGTCCTTAGACACCCTGACACCAAAAAAAGAATGTGCACACTAACAGAAACCGTCATGAGGCACATTAATTGGCAATTTTTCCACGTTACCATTTCCATACTGTGGAATCTGGGATGATCTTATTATGCATAAAATGAGAATAATAATAGAATATATTTCATGATAAATTTTAAGGACTAAAATTAATAAGATATACAAAGAATTTAAGACAATGTCTACACATGGGAAGTAATCCAGAAACAGCATCTATTATTAATAGACCTAATAACAAAGTGATTTTACACTCATCTGGAATTTTCTCTAATAATAATAAATTCAAGGAAATAATGTTAATGAAAATTATCTAGACAAGTTAAAGTTACTAGGTCTACTTCCTGAGAACTCCTTGAGCCCCACCTGTGCCTATTTGCTCTTAGTTCATATGTAGTGTTAGTATGTTTGGTTAACTGACTTCTATCCCTGAGCAGTTCAAGAGGAACAACTTAAAAAGACATTTCGTAATGATAAAGCCGAGAAGTAGGCATAGTTAAATAGCAAAAAGTAGCTGTCAATTATTCATCCATTGATTTATTACTTTTTTTATTTCTTTGGTCTTTTTTTCTTTCTTTCAAAACTAACTTTTTGATATTGTAGTATGTAGTAGACACAGAGTATACATTGATAAATATAACATACATTCATAATACTGTCGTGAACTTACAGTCACGGCAATTTGCCGTAAAGGAAGCAAACTGGTTCCTAAGGGAGTAGAGACTCTTGCTCAAGACGACATTAAAGAAACAAGTAGTTACAGGTCAGGAAAAACAATATATCAAAGCATCCTTTTGTGAATAATATTGACTCACATGTAGTATATATTAGATGGCTTTCACAAGCTTTTATTTAAATCATGGTTTTCAAATAAAATACTTCTATGAACTGGCAAAACTTTTCATTTAAAATTTCATGTCCAGGGATAAGAAAAGATGGACCTGGAAGGAGGAGAGAGAAATCAAGTCACAGTGTCCTACTTCATCGGAGGTAGGAGGGAGGGCAGTGGACAGGACAATTTAATGCTGCCAGAGCTCAAATAAACCCTTCCTATTTTCTACTCTTCTTAAGTCTTTATCTTATATTAGGAATAAATTTACTCTCATGGTAGGCATGATATCAGTCGAAGCTTATTGTCAAGCAATCATTTATTCTTTACTGAACAACACTAATGCTCAAAAGCCATCTAATTATATTTTAAAAAGTTGACAAAAAGGCACAACCTGTGGCTTACTTACACTTTACCCTATGCCAGGGTGTATGGAATTATATCAACACATTAGGCATTGTATGTATTAAATGGATAAATGACTCATCTTTCTATTCTGCAAATCATAGAAAGAAACCTAATATATCTTTTACATCAAAGTAGAGAAGTCTAATTTTCCTTCATAAATTCAAGATTTGCAAAAGCTAAAAACTTTAATTTCTATAATTTAAACCACCTGTATAAGTGAATACATTTCTTTCTCCAATGCGTAACTAAATTTATGACTTACATTTGGTAGATAAGTTTGATAGATAGTGATGATATTGTTAGTCTCCAGTAACACTTCATTTTCAGGGAATAATTTTGCAAAGCAATGTAGTGTAGGGGTTAAGACCATAAACTATGGACATGAATAATTTGGACATAAATTCTGATACTGTCATTTCTGTGTTGAATCACTTGGGCAAATTTCTAAAATTCTCTAAACTTACCTTTGTCCTGCATTAAGCAAGAACTGTATTAATACATAATTCATAGAATTATTTTGATGATTATATTAGAAAGTGCACCTGACAATTCTAACATAGTATCTGACACAGGTTAACTACTTTATAAATTATAATTAGGGTATTATATAAACTCCAGATTTCTTAAATTTGCTACTAACTGACTTGGGTTCTCAGAGTGGAAACACTACTAGATATAACCATATTGGGAGTATTTGTCATGTCACTGTAGAGGTATTTAGACGCTACATAAACTCATACAAACCCTATGTGCATTTAGCATCACCAATACTTATGATATCCTTTCATTGATTATCAGTTTGCCAATAAATATTACTAAAAAATCCATTTAAAACTTAAAAACTTTAAAGACTAAGCAGAATAAATATTATATTATAACATAATCCTATTCCCCATCTAATTAAGTAAGAACATTAGGGAAGGTTGCCAAGCAGGCCAAAAAATACCTTTCTAATTAACCTATTATTGAGTTATAAAAGGTATTCTGGAGACATAATTGTCATTTGATAAAATAAAAACACATCACTTACAGTGCTTAAAAATTACACTATATATGATAACTTGCCACTTAGTGTGAGGTAGCTTCACAAATCCTCTTGAATTAATTATTGGAATCTGGTTTTGATCAAAGCATGTAGGAAAAAAAAGGAGAATATACAAGCTGAGGCTCCTGGAATTCCATGCCCTCATAGAGAGGCAAACTTTAAATTAGCAAGAATGTTGTGCTGGAAAACTTCATAACAAAAGTTAACAAATTCTGATGTGTAGAGGTGAATAAATCACCTCTTCTTCCAACAAAAACTCTCTCTACAGAAAGAAAAAAAAATCACCAAAAGAACTGATACTTGTTACTACACACTATGATTATTGCAGGGCAAGCATTTTGCTAAGTACTTATTTCATCTAAAATATATTTATATCCATTTTAAATAGTAAGATATTGCCGATCAGAGAGGCTTTACAACTTTCCCAAAGTTAGAATATTTATCAGAATCACAATTAGTACCCAAGTCTGAATAATACCAGTAGGTCCTTTAGTTAAATAACTGCTGTTAATTTTTATTTTATTATAATCATTTTACCTCTCAATTGGCTATTATAAACACAGGAAGAACAGACAAAGCATACCTTAAGGTCATAAGGAACATATGGATACAATCTGCTTAATACCTGTCATCTCCACATACTCATGCAAACAAAATCCCATAAAAGACAAGGCAAATGCTATCCATGTGAAAACATACAACTCCATGGAAATAAAATAAATATTTTTCTGATGACTATAAATGAGATACTGTTATAATACAACTTGTTTTATATATTTAAAAAGAGCATGATAATGAATTCATACACAGGGAAATCCTTAAGTTGTGTGAGATTTTTCATTTTAGGGCCCTAGGCTTAATTTTCAATTCTTGAGGGATAATGTCCCAGACCAATAGTTAAATTTAATGATTCATTTCGAGAGATTCCTTGTTGATGTGTTTACTCTTTTCTCCCATTCCTCTCCCACTGAATTAAACTTTGTTCATGGGTTAAATGTGGCTTGCTATCTTAGTGACCAGGGTATTTTCACCCCTCTATGTTGCTTGTCATGATTAGTCATAAAAATGAGTTTATTCATCACAGGAACAGCAATACCTAAAATAGAGGCTTCAGGGACTCTGCACAATCAACAGGAATTTAGAAGTGGTTATTATTCTAGAACATTTTCAATTACTCACATAGCAGATTTGAACTCCAGGTTGTCTTTGCTCTGATCATAGCACACTCTAGACCCTTCTCTTACTGCAATGGCTATACACAGTTTGTAAGGGAACAACAAGGCTTGCACTGAAACTTACCAGCAGTGTGACCTGCAATATGCCATTTCACTTTAATGAGCATCCATTTATTCATTTCTTTCTTTTCTCTCTCTTCCTTTTTCTTTTCTTTTTTTCTTTTTCACAGTTGTTTATTGTTATACTTTAATATTATACTTTAAATTCTGGGATACATGTGCAGAACGTACAGGTTTTTTACATAGGTATATATACACATGCCATGGTGGTTTGCTGCACCCAACAACCAGTCATCTGCATTAGTTATTATTCCTAATGCTATCCCTCCCCTAGTCCACCACCTCCTGACAGGCCCCGCCGTGTGATGTTCCCCTCCCTGTGCCAATGTGTTCTCATTGTTCAACTCCCACTTATGAGTGAGAACATGCAGTATATGGTTTTCTGTTATTAGTGTGCTGAGAATGATGGTTTGCAGCTTCATCCATGTCCCTGCAAAGGACATGAACTCATCCTTTTTATGACTGCATAGTATTCCATGGTGTATGTGTGCCACATTTTCTTTATCCAGTCTTATCATTGATGGGCATTTGGGTTGATTCCAAGTCTTTGCTGTTGTGAAAAGTGCTACAATAAATATACGTGTGCATGTATCCTTATAGTAGCCATACTGCCCAAAGTAATTTATAGATTCAATGCTATCTCCATCAAGCTACCATCAACTTTCTTCAAAGAATTAGAAAAAAAACTACTTTAAATTTCATATGGAACCAAAAAAAAATGCATACAGCCAAGACAATCCTAAGCAAAAAGAACAAAGCTGGAGGCATCATGCTACCTGACTTCAAACTATACTACAAGGCTACAGTAACCAAACCAGCATGGTACTTTTACCAAAACAGATTTAGACAAATGGAACAGAACAGAGACCTCAGAAATAATACCACACATCTA